CTTGAGGTTCCTAAACCTGTATTCGCTGGAACGCAGGCGGGAGAGATACATGATTATATACACCTGGAAAATCCTAGAGGGACTAGTACCGAACTTGCACACGAAAATCACTCACTACGAAAGCAAAAGACTTGGCAGACGATGCAACATCCCCCCAATGAAAAGCAGGGGTCACTAGCACGTTAAGAGACCATATAATAAGTGTCAGGGGCCCGAGACTGTTCAACTGCCTCCCAGCATACATAAGGGGGATTACCAACAGACCCCTGGCAGTCTTCAAGCTGGCACTGGACAAGCACCTAAAGTCGGTTCCTGACCAGCCGGGCTGTGGCTCGTACGTTGGCTTGCGTGCAGCCAGCAGTAACAGCCTGGTTGATCAGGCTCTGATCCACCAGGAGGCCTGGTCACAGACCGGGCCGCGGGGGCGTTGACCCCCGGAACTCTCTCCAGGTAAACTCCAGGTATGAGTACGTAGAGGGAGAATAGCAGTGTCTGTAGTATACTGTTAGGCATACTTCTGGAAGGTATTCCTAGGAGGTATTCCCTATTAGGCCTCCTCGATAATATATATATATATATATATATATATATATATATATATATATATATATATATATTATATATATATATATATATATATATATATATATATATATATATATATATATTGTAAATTACCTAGGATAACCCAAAAAAGTCAGACAACCTGACTTATTCTGGAATGTACAGTCTAGGTCTACGAGATCATTGCTGACCTGACGGAGAAGTGTGGGGTAGTGGATGGGGGTGAAGAGTTTGGTGGGGAGGATATGTACCTTCCAGTAAACTGTATCTGTGTTCACCATTGCCACCCAGCTATGCGAAGAGGTAAACGAAATCAAGATAGGAGTGTATTCGTCAGGAAATAGGAGTGTCCTATAGCTTAGTTGGTAGGGCACTCAGTTTATACACTGAGTGTCCGTGGTTCGATCCCTGGTAAGGGTGAAAAAGTTGGACATGTTTCCTTACACCTATTGTCCCTGTTCACCTAACAGTAAGTAGTTACCTGGGTGTTAGTCGACTGGTGTGGGTCGCATCCTGACACTAATGTCTTAAATTAATAAGGGATTAATTAAACTCAAGATATTGTGGATTCCCCGCTCACATAGACCTCCAGGAGCATGACACAATGGATGAGCTAGCTCAACAAACGTTAAATAAAGAGAATGTTGAGTAGTTTGGTTTTGTTTTTCAAAACATAAGTTTAAGAAACATTGTTAGAAAGGAACTAGGAAACGAGCCTGAAGAAAGTAGAATAGTACAGATAGGAATTAGCAGATCCATTATCGATTATAATGAAAAGTGTCAGTATCTAGGGAGAAAGTAAAAAGGTCGGTAGATTGCCTATAAGTATAGAGCTCTGGCAGTAGCTATTACTGCTACACTAAGGCGAGGCTATAATATTGTATCTCTGGCAGTAGTAGTTACTGTTACACTAAGGCAAGGCTATAATTATGTATCTCTGGCAGTAGTAGTTACTGCTACACTAAGGCGAGGCTATAATTATGTATCTCTGGCAGTAGTAGTTACTGTTACACTAAGGCGAGGCTATAATTATGTATCTCTGGCAGTAGTAGTTACTGCTACACTAAGGCGAGGCTATAATTATGTATCTGGCAGTAGTAGTTACTGTTACACTAAGGCGAGGCTATAATTATGTATCTCTGGCAGTAGTAGTTACTGTTACACTAAGACGAGGCTATAATATTGTATCTCTGGCAGTAGTAGTTACTGCTACACTAAGGTGAGGCTATAATATTGTATCTCTGGCAGTAGTAGTTACTGCTACACTAAGACGAGGCTATAAATATCTAGCAGTGAGGTTTGTATGGAGATGTCAAAATGCTAAGTGTGTGAACAAAGAGTCATATACGGGAACATCTCGGCATATCTTAGTGTCCAAACAGCCAGCCTTTCAGACGCCTCCATGCAGGATATGTCAAAACACTTAATCGTTAACGATAGGATATCTAAAATATTGATGTTATATCCACATTTTACATCGACTAGATGAATGAACTTTTTATAGAGGAAACTACAACCCAATTATGAGAAATGCTTATCATTTTTTAGACTAATTCCGTATTGTATTGTACACAGCTACAGTATATTTCTATCAATGTAACAGTGGTCAGTGGGGTCTGACAAAGACCTATTTTGACCTCTGTGATCCTGTTTTTGTGCGCTACCGCTCACAAGATGAGCTGCGGGTGCGCAACAAACTAGCCTCTCAGGAGGCAACTGAGGCTAAGGTTAGCTGTGGTTGTCCCCTGAGAGGCTAGTTTATAGTGCACCCGCAGCTCATCCTGTGAGCGGCAGCGCACAAACAACATATTATAGAGGCCACAATGGCTCTAATTACATTTGTTAGTTATTTGTTAGTCATTTCACCGTAAGTTCTACTTTATATTTTAGAACAGAGGATCACTAGTGTGTTCTAGGATAAGACCATCACGAAACACTAGTGTGAGACTGTCACGAACCATTAGTGTAGGGGTTCTTAACCAGGGGTGTCCATACCCCTTGGTGGAATGGGAACCAAATAATGGGGGTATTGGACTCCATCTCTGAACAATTAAAAAAAATACTTGTTAGAGTAGAATAAAATATCTCGATTATTAATAGGAACTGAGGCGGCGAGGCTGCTAACCAATCAGCGAGTGCACAAGAAAAAAGCAAAAAATCTCACTAATGATTTACCGTTTTTCTATAAATAAATATAATAAAATCCTTATTATTTTCTTTGAGCTGTGCATGTGTAAAGTAAAACCAAGCTACTGACATATTTTGAAATCATACTGGTACCTAATAGAACTACTGATGATGACTTCGACAGTATAGTGAAGGGGTTATGGGAACATACTGGGCAATCCATTATCGTAAAAAAAGGTTAAGAACCCAAAAATGTTAGACAGAGTGACTTATTTCCATTGGGGTCCTTTTACCTTATTATTATAATATAAAGGTTATACTGGTGGCCTGGTGGTTAACGCTCTCGCTTCACACGGTGAGGGCCTGGGTTCGATTCCCAGCCAGAGTAGAAACATTGGACGTGTTTCTTTCCACCTGTTGTCTATGTTCCCCATCAGTAAAGTGGGTACCTGGGTGTTAGTCGACTGGTGTGGGTCGCATCCTGGGACACTGACCTAAGGAGGCCTGGTCACAGACCGGGCCGCGGGGGCGTTGACCCCCGGAACTCTCTCCAGATAAACAAACTCCAGATATTTTCTTATTCTACAATGAAGATAACATCTTATTATCATACTAAAAAGAATATCTACTACACGAGGGTCATTAAGACTATCTACAATACGAGGGTCATTACTAGGAATAAGGTAAAATTTACACGTCTATTTTTTAGCTAACATACGTGTAAATTTTACCTTATTCCTAGTAATGACCCTCGTATTGTAGATAGTCTTAATGTCCCTCGTGTAGTAGATAGTCTTTTTAGTATGATAATAAGATGTTATCTTCATTGTAGAATAATAAGAAAATATTATAACCTTTATATTATAATAATAAGGTAAAAGGACCCCAATGGAAATAAGTCACTCTGTCTGACTTTTTTGGGTTATCCTAGGTTCTCTACACATATGCTGCTATGTATGATAATTCTATGTAACTGTATTTGTGTATACCTGAATAAACTTACTCAACAAGTCAGCTTCACCAGGTCCTCCCTCCTACACTCAACCAGGAAGTGGGTGGTACACGCGCCTCATTAACTGCTGTGATGAGCCAGATTTCTTGGCCAATTTCTCGCCTCTAACAAAAGGGAAGGAATGAGGGAAGGTAGAAGGCGGAGAATATGATGTTTACGGCTAATTATAAGCCCACGGGAAGAACCTTAAAAAAAAAGAGGAAGAAGAAACAATAAGATAAGAATGACAAGTGTAGCAACAACAATAATAGTAATTATTATAACTCCTTCACCCCCCTGAAAAAAATGACTGTTTTCAGTTCTATCAAAAATTCATATTATTTTCACGTTAACGATACATACTTTTAACATATTTTGGCTGTATTTTTTCTGTATCTCAAGGATGTGACGATATCAAGAGAGAAGTGTATGTACTTCTCTGGGAGACAGCAAGTCAGGTCCGAGTGTCATGTCTGACGTGACGTGACGGTACATCAGTTGTAAGTGACGGTACAGCAGTTGTAGTGACGGTACATCAGTTGAGTGACGGTACATCAATTGTGGAGTGACGGCACACCAATCTTCAAGACCTGCCATTATAACAGACTTGGCGCTAGATGGAATACCGCGCCGTGAGTACTCTAGAACTCTAGTGTATTCAAGTTAAGTTTGGTGCATCAGTGCTCTAGTGTATTCTTGACGTTGAAGACCTCTACATGTGTACTCTAGCTAGACCAACAATGTACTTATAATGGGCGTGGCCAAGTCAGTACTCTAGTTCTCTGGTATGTGTGTGTATATATGTCGAGTACCACTGCGTTAGTACTCTGGACTTCTAGTTTGATGTTGTATTTATAGCATTTAAGATGGGTGTAGGGCGGTGTATGCGAGGGTATCTGGTGAGGCTGGCGCTGACTTGGGAGGCTAAGGCGTGTCTGCTGCTATCAGCCACCGTGGTGCTGCTGCTGTGCGTGCTGCAGAGGGACCAGACTCACCTGCAGCTGCTGCATGTCAGCGACGTCCCGAGAGAATTACCTCAGGTCTCCACGGAAGGCGCTGGTGTGGAAGCCAGCATGAGAGAATCTACTTCTGAAGATAGTGTTACACGCAGGGTTCTTCCCGGCTGCCCCTCTACCCCTCCACACCTCCGTAAGTACCTTCAGCTGGGGTACCTTGATGCTGGTGAAGGGCTGTTGATCCTTGATATTGGACCTTGCATACAGTTTTAATTTCACTTTTTTTTTTTTTTTAATAAAACAAATTTCTGTACATAAAGTCAGCTATCTCATTTTTTTTTTTTTGTAAATGCGATTGGAAAATTAAATCCTGAATTGAATAACGCAATACTTGTTATTCTATTTTCATTGCACTTTTACATTAACTTTTAAAACAAAAAACTGCCATGTCGAGGGGTTTTATAGGAGAAAAAAATCTAAAAATGTCTCTAATGGTTATACTCATACCCATACTTTTTAAAGGGGTAGAGGGTAAGCCAGCGGAAGGCCTCGATCAGATGACCAGAAGCTCCAGCTTCAGGTCATATGACTAAAACCCGCTTTGGGAAACACTTGTCCTGGTTCCTGACAAACCTTACCAAATCTAATCTTTATAAGAGAACTGACTTTAACTACACATTCCTCTCTAAGTGAGTGTTCCCACGCGACGCTTCTATCAGTGTTCCTTCCCCTGTAGGTGGAAAGTTGGAGGTGGAGGAGAACGTGAGTGTGAGTGAAGCTGAGGCCAGGCACGGGCTAGGAGTGAGGCCAGGAGGGTTTTCCTGGCCTCTACACTGTGACGCTCGCTGGTCGGTGGCTATAATTGTCCCGTACAGGGACAGGCAATACCAGGTGGGTACAACAGTTCCATAGACACGGGCCAGTTGCCACTGCAAACTTATATTAGGATGTTTCACCCACCAGGAGTGAAAAAGCTCCTGGTGAAGGAAACGTATTATAAGAAGTTTCGAAACGTTGCACGGGAATCTAATTTATACATTTGTGATGCAGGTTGGGACCTTCTTGAACCACATGCACTCGTTCCTGCAGCGTCAGCAGCTCAACTACTCTATCTACCTCATTGAGCAGGAAGGTGAGTAGTACAAAGACAACGCTTCAATACACAAATAGCCCGCACACAGAAATTTACGACGATGTTAGTGCTACTTTGTAAATGGTCCAAGTCGGACAGAAACGTCGTCGTAAGCTCCTCTCTCCTATGTACGGGTTATTTGTGTATTGTTAGGTAAGACACATATGCAACAGTTAGGTATCTTTATTTCGAAACGTTTCGCCTACACAGTAGGCTTCTTCTGTCGAGTACAGAAAAGTTGATAGAAGCAGAAGAGACTTGAAGACGATGTAATCAGTCCATCACCCTTTAAAGTTTTGAGGTGGTCAGTCCCTCAGTCTGGAGAAGAGCATTGTATTTTATGCCATTTTAATGTTCAATCTGTCAGACACTGCAACACAAGAGATCTTGGTACAGACCTGAAATCAACTTCGATAACCTCTACTAGTGAGAACGGCTGGATTTGAGAGGGACCTGACCTCCCAACATCTGCGTTCTACTAGTGACCTACGTCTCACCTCCTGGCGCTATATAAGGCTCCATCCTGTCACTTCAACTCCATATTGTTTCAGACTATGGAACAATGCTCTTCTCCAGACTGAGGGACTGACCACCTCAAAACTTAAGGGTGATGGACTGATTACATCGTCTTCAAGTCTCTTCTGCTTCTATCAACTTTTCTGTACTCGACAGAAGAAGCCTACTGTGTAGGCGAAACGTTTCGAAATAAAGATACCTAACTGTTGCATATGTGTCTTACCTAACAACCTGTCGGTATTTTATGCCATTTTAATGTTCTATTTGTGTATTGTTCCAGTCATTGTACTGTTCCTTTTTTATCCAAGACAACGTTTAATTTAGGGAGCGCTTTATCTCAACTAGATTAAGTCATTGAGCGAAACGTTGTCTTAATACAAATAATTTGTCGTCCATACAGTTTGCAGAATACTCTGTTTCTTTCCAACACCATTCTGTTCTTAAACAGGGACGGACCTGTTCAACAGAGCCCGCCTATTGAATGTTGGTTTTCTGGAGTCCCGCAAGGAGGGACCGTGGGACTGCTACGCTTTCCACGACGTTGATATGTTGCCGGAGAATGACTATCACCTGTATCACTGCTCGGCTCAGCCACGACACCTGGCAGTCGCTACCTCCAACACCAAATACCGGTGAGGTGGGACCCATGGGAAGTGTGCCTGTGTTGGTTAACCTTTGTTTGTGTGATAAACTTGTGTCTGGCTGGTCAGCTTGTGTCTGTGGTAAACTTGTGTCTGTGTAGTAAACTTGTGTCTGACTGGTAAATTTGTGTCTGTGTGGTATACTTGTCTTTGTGGTAAATTTGTATCTGGCTGGTAAACTTGTGTCTAGCCGGTAAACCTGGAGAAGCGGTATCCCTCCACTGTGACTATCTCAGCACCCTACCATTCCAAAATACCATACACAAAGTATGGAAAGAAAAATTATTGAAGAAAAATTCGCCACGTGAACTCAAAAAAAAAGAGGAATAACTATACTGAACTATTTTTTTAAATGCTTTCAAAACAGCCAGGCAAAACAGCCTAAGGTGGGAAAAACTTAGGAACTCATTGCTATTTTTAAATTAGTAATCTTTCCGTATCTATAAATATTGCTCTAACTTGGTAAATATTTGCACTTTCAAGATAGTGTTCAAAAATATTTTGGAGATTTGGACATGATTTTCAAATTTAGTGATCATGTGCCAAGCTAAGATTTATTTTTGTTAAACAAAATTAATAAGCAGTATGCTGCTACACTATTCTGTACGATAATTACATAGCGGGAATGAAAGCTTAACTATGATCCAGTATATTTACTAGCCTAGGTTCAAAAAGGTCGCTGTATCTGAGCTTCGAAGTCGCAAGATTAACACCTGGTTTCCCATCCCAGCAAATCCTCATAATTTATATCCTAGTATGCAATCCTCCCGCAGACTAGGATAGCCACTAGTCCACACTAGAAGATTAACTTGTTTTTCACTTTCACAGGACCTACAATTTCAAGTACTATACTTACTATGGAGGCGCTTGTCTCATGACGGAGGCCCACGTGAGGAAGGTGAACGGCTGGAGTAATATATACTGGGGTTGGGGAGGAGAGGACGATGATATGTGGAGACGTATAGCCTTCGCTGACATGTCTGTGTGGAGGTATCCTTCACACTACGCCAGGTATAAGACTCTCCAACACAAGCCTCAGCCTGTGAATAACAACAGGTGAGTTGAAATGGTAAAGCGGGAGAGGAAAAAATGGCTTTGATTGGAACGATGTTTCTCTCGTGGAGGAGTTTTATAGAGGTGTGTTTTGCTCTGTAAGGAGTTTTTATCGTCATGTTCTAATGTGTAGAGCTTTATGAAGTTGTTTCAAGTGATGTACAGCTTTATCAAATGTTTCCCTGTGTAGGACTTCATGTGTTTAAATTAATATTGATCAGGTCTTCTGCTTGAAGAAGAGAAGCTTGTAAATAACAAAAAGGCACAATACCATGACTGGAAAAATGCACAAATAAATAACCCGCATATAGGAGAGAGGAGGTTCCGACGACGTTTCGGTCCGACTTGGACCATTTACAAAGTCATACTGTGACTGTAAATGGTCCAAGTCGAACCGAAACGTCGTCGTAAGCTCCTCTCTCATGTTCGGGTTATTTGTGTAAGAGAAGTTTGACTTCAACTCAGTCAAACTGATGATATTCCACATCACTCAGACGAAACAAGGGCGGCTGTGACTGTAGTTTCACACGTTACACTGACGCGCTCTTCTCTCCACAGGTACCAGATACTAGAGCGCAACACTGGCAGATATCATACTGACGGCCTAAACAGTATAAACTACACTGTGAAGGCCTTTACCAGACACCCGCTATACACACACATCCTGGCAGACATCGGCTCCAGTTGGAACAATAGCCTCACACATCTCTCGACGTCTGAGATGCACAGAGAATCCAGTCAGTGAAAACGTACTGTAAACCAGAATCAAAGCGAAGACACACGTAGCGGAATTAGCCTTTATTGAGGCAACATTTCGCTCTATGGTGATGAAATGTACTTATTGTGCTACGGGTCTGGGTACGCACTGGGTTCCTAGGGACATCTGCATTGTTCCTCTTAGTTCAACGTGATACTTTATAGTTAGAAAAGAGTATAAACAATTTAATATATACCCGTTAAAAATATCAAGAATTCGAATAACATCTTTATTAAAAAATTACAGTTATACGTGTGAATACGTAATATTACGGTGGTCATATTAGGTCTGTGTTCTTGTGTTCCGACAGACAGTCGTGTGTAATTAAAACTTGTGAAAGCTTAGCTTATTTATTGTTACTACGAGACGGGAATAAAAATACTAAAGCAGAAATATCACACGAGAGACACCCATAAGAACGGTACACGGAGATTTACTACCGTTCTTCGTTGTTAAGCTTTGTTGCACTTGCAAGCTTGACGTACTACGCTCTGATGATGCTAGGACGCAGAAGATTTTTTTTCACGATATGATCTCGGGAAAAATCCATATGCTTAGCATACCTTTCCATGGTATTTCAGGTGCAGATACAGTGCTGAAAACATTAAAAAAGGAAGCTGGAAATATTTGGAAAAGACATCTTCCACTTTACATAGTTACGGGTAAAGATGTTATACATGTATTCTGTCAGTGAGACAGGAAATTTTCTGCTTTGTGATACTTCAGCCACTGTATCAAGTACTGGATCTTAAGAGGACATCTGTTAGCTTTAAGCACTCAAAGTACTGTATCTTACAGGACACATGTTAGCCTTAAATACATAAAGCACTGAATCTTACAGGACACATGTTAGCCTTAAACACATAAAGCACTGATCTTACAGGACACAGTTAGCCTTAAACACATAAAGCACTGAATCTTACAGGACACATGTTAGCCTTAAACACATAAAGCACTGAATCTTACAGGACACATGTTAGCCTTAAACACATAAAGCACTGAATCTTACAGGACACATGTTAGCCTTAAACACATAAAGCACTGAATCTTACAGGACACATGTTAGCCTTAAACACATAAAGCACTGAATCTTACAGGGCACATGTTAGCTTTAAACACATAAAGTACTGTAATCTTAAAGGAAACTTCTTAGCTTTAAACACAAGACATATTAGCTTTAACCAGTGCATATTACAGGACACATGTTAGATTTAAACACACATAAAGTACTGTACCTTATAAAGCACGTGTTAGCTTTAACCAGACATCGTTTCGCCCTGTGTTGATAATGTTTCACACAGAGAGAAACGTGTTTATCTTCACAACAGTTAATGTATTGCATCGGAGAACAGCTGTTAAAATGTGACCATTGTAGTAACGACAGTAATATCCTGGCTTGTCCATAGTTACTAAGTTGACGTGAACAATGGTCGTGCCTCGGTCTATGATTACTCGCAGATGGCAACTTGTAGGTGATTACCTGTGGATGTTCTGTGGAATCATCGCCCCAGAGACCCGGTCACAGATCATACCTCAGAGTAATCTGGCTGTGCGAACTACTGCATTTAGCTACTTTTCTGATTTCAGTAGAAATTCTTTAGGGTGATTGTAATCAACATCTTGATGTGTGTTGTAAGTTTTCTAGGAACATACGACTAATTTTTACTAGTCGCTAAGTGCTTAGTGCTACGCTACCACTGAAATTATGCTAAAATCTCTTATATACTGTCATCCGACATTGAATATCTCACAAAAAGCCTTCATTTGCAAAATATTGCATTATATAGAACAGCTTTTTATGAGAGTTTACTGTACTGTATGGCCCATTCAGTTTTTTTTTTTTTTTTTTTTTTTTGTCTGGTGGATAAAAACACTCGAGTATCGTTCAGAACATTTATTAAAGGAAACGTGCAGCTACGATAGATTTCTTCTGTCGTAATACAGAGATAATGTAGATGGAAGCTTGTGTAGTGTGGGAGACAGGTAACGCAGAGCAAGAGAGTAGGGATAGTAGTAGTAGTAGTAGATCTGTGAGTAGCTGGTACCATGTGACAACAGTAGTTAGTGGGTATCACATGATGGCAGCTGTTGATATCACACAGCAGTAGTAGTTAAGTGGGTATCACATGATGGTAGTTAGTAGATATCACATAGTGACAGCAGTTAGTGGGTATCACATGGTGGCAGTAGTTAGTGGATATCACATGATGACAATAGTTAGTGGGTATCACATGATAACAGTAGGTAGTAGGAATCACATAATGACAGTAGTTAGTGTGTATCATGTAATAGCAACTGTTGGTATCACATAATAGCATTAGTTAAGTATCATAGTCCCTCATCCCTATCTTACTGGATAACATCCTGCTTACCAAGAGTTTAGTTATGCTGAAACTACCACACTTCCGAGGGATGCTGTTAGTGACAACAGTTATGTAGTTAACTCTTACGAATCACTTATCTGACCTCTTTCCAGTTCTCGTAGTGTCTCTGATCCACATCTTGTTGGTGTTGCCATACCTTTTACAGTTATAAAAAGTCTCGTTGAAACTTTAAAATATGACAACACATTATTTATCAAGATAATAACTTACTGTGATGTTAGATTTACGTTAATTATGTTTGGAATAGTGAGAATATTTTATTTTCTGATTAAGCAGTTGCTTCCTGGTGGGAATTCTTACTACGTTCTGAATCAAAGTTCTTCTAAGTGGCTCTCTTGGTATTCCTGAGTTTCTACTGATACTTTATATGTGAAACCAAGTTATAAATGATGTAGAGACGACGAAGGAAGTTAGTTGGGAAGAATGTTGCTATATTCAGTAGAGAGTTATGTCCTTGTAGAATCCCCACTGACTTGCTGCATTCAGTAGAAGAGTTACTTCCCTTGGAGAATCTCCTTCTTGTGGGGGACGCCTTGTTGTTTTCGGGTCTTAGGTCGGAGGAAGTTGACAGCAGTTCTTGCATCTGTGGTATAACATAGCATCACCATCTCTAATATAGCAAACGTCACCTCTGTAGTATAGTTTTGTACCAAAAGAACCTTAGAAAACTTACCTAACCTTATTATAGCCAGCGCAGTTTAATTTAGCCTAATCCAACTAAATGTATTTTAGATACGTTTACAATAATTTAATAATAAACACAATGAAATACATTTTTTTCGTTAGGTTCAGAATGATTTTTGCGAAATTATTGCATACAGAAATTTTCGCTTGCCTTATTCGGTAAGAATAGCGTTGCTATTTATACTAAAATCGCAAGTTTTAGCTATTCAGCACGATATATATATATATATATATATATATATATATATATATATATATATATATATATATATATATATATATATATATATAATATATATATATATATGTATGTATGTATGTATGTATGTATATGAAAGGGGGTGCTAATTTTGCCGTTTTATGACTAGTATAAGCACCCCTCTGGCAAGACAGTGATGGAGTGAATGATGGTGAATGCTTTTCTTTATCGGGCCACCCTACCTTGGCGGAAACGACCGATGTGTTAATAAAAATATATATATACATATACTGTACCTCTACCGTAATTGTCGGCATCATTTTCCGGTCATTTCAAAATCACAGAGATGAAAGAAGATCTTCACACTTCGACCTTGTACTGTTCAACGTTCTCAGTTGGTGTTTGTAATACACAGATGGTCCCTCAACTCTAGTTCCATCTGCATATACTTTTTTCCTTCGTGTGAACATGAATACTTGTCAATGATCACTCGTTTACAACTACAACAAAGTAACTATGTTAAGGACACCTTCAATCTGGTACGTGGCTACGGACGAACATGATTACATGTGATATATGATCGTTGATTTGAAGAAAAAAACGAAACTACTAAAACATCACGAAATTCTTTCATCCGCAATATAAATAAACGAAAATATAAATTAAATGTAATTCACCCGAGTTACATAATATAATTTACTGATCCAGTCACACAAAGACAAAATATTCTGTGATGAAAATAACAGGAAAACCCATCATGTGCGATGGAATAGAACAGGAAAAACCATCATGTGTGATGGAATAACATACCACATGTGTGATGGAATAGAACAGGAAAAACCATCATGTGTGATGGAATAGAACAGGAAAACTCATCATGTGTGATGGAATAGAACAGGAAAAACCATCATGTGTGATGGAATAGAACATGAAACCCCATCATGTGTGATGGAATAGAACAGGAAAAACCATCATGTGTGATGGAATAGAACAGGAAAACTCATCATGTGTGATGGAATAGAACAGGAAAAACCATCATGTGTGATGGAATAGAACATGAAACCCCATCATGTGTGATGGAATAGAACATGAAACCCCATCATGTGTGATGGAATAGAACATGAAACCCCATCATGTGTGATGGAATAGAACATGAAACCCCATCATGTGTGATGGAATAGAACATGAAACCCCATCATGTGTGATGGAATAGAACATGAAACCCCATCATGTGTGATTGAATAGGACATGAAACCCCATCATGTGTTATGGAATAGAACATGAAACCCCATCATGTGTGATGGAATAGAACATGAAACCCCATCATGTGTTATGGAATAGAACATGAAACCCCATCATGTGTGATGGAATAGAACATGAAACCCCATCATGTGTGATGGAATAGAACATGAAACCCCATCATGTGTGATTGAATAGGACAGGAAACCCATCATGTGTGATGGAATAGAACATGAAACCCCATCATGTGTGATGGAATAGAACATGAAACCCCATCATGTGTGATGGAATAGAACATGAAACCCCATCATGTGTGATGGAATAGAACATGAAACCCCATCATGTGTGATGGAATAGAACATGAAACCCCATCATGTGTGATGGAATAGAACATGAAACCCCATCATGTGTGATTGAATAGGACAGGAAACCCATCATGTGTGATTGAATAGGACATGAAACCCCATCATGTGTTATGGAATAGAACATGAAACCCCATCATGTGTGATGGAATAGAACATGAAACCCCATCATGTGTGATGGAATAGAACATGAAACCCCATCATGTGTGATTGAATAGGACAGGAAACCCATCATGTGTGATGGAATAGAACATGAAACCCCATCATGTGTGATGGAATAGAACATGAAACCCCATCATGTGTGATGGAATAGAACATGAAACCCCATCATGTGTGATGGAATAGAACATGAAACCCCATCATGTGTGATTGAATAGGACATGAAACCCCATCATGTGTTATGGAATAGAACATGAAACCCCATCATGTGTGATGGAATAGAACATGAAACCCCATCATGTGTGATGGAATAGAACATGAAACCCCATCATGTGTGATGGAATAGAACATGAAACCCCATCATGTGTGATGGAATAGAACATGAAACCCCATCATGTGTTATGGAATAGAACATGAAACCCCATCATGTGTGATGGAATAGAACATGAAACCCCATCATGTGTGATGGAATAGAACATGAAACCCCATCATGTGTTGGAATAGAACAGGAAACCCATCATGTGTGATGGAATAGAACATGAAACCCCATCATGTGTGATGGAATAGAACATGAAACCCCATCATGTGTGATGGAATAGAACATGAAACCCCATCATGTGTGATGGAATAGAACATGAAACCCATCATGTGTGATGGAATAGAACAGAAAACCTCATCATGTGTGATGGAATAGAACAGAAAACCCATCATGTGTGATGGAATAGAACAGAAAACTCATCATGTGTGATGGAATAGAACATGAAAACCCATCATGTGATGGAATAACGGAAAAACATCATGTTGAGGAATAGAACATGAAACCCCATCATGTGTGATGGAATAGAACATGAAACCCCATCATGTGTGATGGAATAGAACATGAAACCCCATCATGTGTGATGGAATAGAACATGAAACCCCATCATGTGTGATGGAATAGAACATGAAACCCCATCATGTGTGATGGAATAGAACATGAAACCCCATCATGTGTGATTGAATAGGACATGAAACCCCATCATGTGTTATGGAATAGAACATGAAACCCCATCATGTGTGATGGAATAGAACATGAAACCCCATCATGTGTGATGGAATAGAACATGAAACCCCATCATGTGTGATGGAATAGAACATGAAACCCCATCATGTGTGATGGAATAGAACATGAAACCCCATCATGTGTGTATGGAATAGAACAGGAAACCCATCATGTGTGATGGAATAGAACATGAAACCCCATCATGTGTGATGGAATAGAACATGAAACCCCATCATGTGTGATGGAATAGAACATGAAACCCCATCATGTGTGATGGAATAGAACATGAAACCCCATCATGTGTGATGGAATAGAACATGAAACCCCATCATGTGTGATGGAATAGAACATGAAACCCCATCATGTGTGATTGAATAGACATGAAACCCATCATGTGTGATGAATAGAACATGAAACCCCATCATGTGTGATGGAATAGAACATGAAACCCCATCATGTGTGATGGAATAGACATGAAACCCCATCATGTGTTATGGAATAGAACATGAAACCCCATCATGTGTGATGGAATAGACATGAAACCCATCATGTGTATGGAATAGAACATGAAACCCCATCATGTGTGATGGAATAGAACATGAAACCCCATCATGTGTGATGGAATAGAACATGAAACCCCATCATGTGTGATTGGAATAGAACATGAAACCCATCATGTGTGATGGAATAGAACATGAAACCCCATCATGTGTGATGGAATAGAACATGAAACCCCATCATGTGTGATTGAATAGAACATGAAACCCATCATGTGTGATGGAATAGAACATGAAACCCCATCATGTGTGATGGAATAGAACATGAAACCCCATCATGTGTGATGGAATAGAACATGAAACCCCATCATGTGTGATGGAATAGGACAGGAAACCCATCATGTGTGATTGAATAGGACATGAAACCCCATCATGTGTATGGAATAGAACATGAAACCCCATCATGTGTGATGGAATAGAACATGAAACCCCATCATGTGTGATGGAATAGAACATGAAACCCCATCATGTGTGATTGAATAGACAGGAAACCCCATCATGTGTTGATGGAATAGAACATGAAACCCCATCATGTGTGATGGAATAGAACATGAAACCCCATCATGTGTGATGGAATAGAACATGAAACCCCATCATGTGTGATGGAATAGAACATGAAACCCATCATGTGTGATGGAATAGAACATGAAACCCCATCATGTGTGATGGAATAGAACATGAAACCCCATCATGTGTGATTGAATAGGAACAGGAAACCCATCATGTGTGATGGAATAGAACAGGAAAACCCATCATGTGTTATGGAATAGAACAGGAAACCCCATCATGTGTGATGGAATAGGACAGGAAAACCCATCATGTGTGATGGAATAGAACATGAAACCCCATCATGTGTGATGAATAGACAGGAAACCCATCATGTGTGATGGAATAGAACATGGAAACCCCATCATGTGTGATGGAATAGAACATGAAACCCCATCATGTGTGATGGAATAGAACATGAAACCCCATCATGTGTGATGGAATAGAACATGAAACCCCATCATGTGTGATGGAATAGAACATGAAACCCCATCATGTGTTATGGAATAGAACATGAAACCCCATCATGTGTGATGGAATAGAACATGAAACCCCATCATGTGTGATGGAATAGAACATGAAAACCCATCATGTGTGATGGAATAGACATGAAACCCCATCATGTGTGATGGAATAGAACATGAAACCCCATCATGTGTGATGGAATAGAACAGGAAAACCCATCATGTGTGATGGAATAGAACAGGAAAACCCATCATGTGTTATGGAATAGAACAGGAAACCCCATCATGTGTGATGGAATAGGAAGAAGGAACCCACAGTGGTGATGAATAGAACATGAAAACCCATCATAGTTGATGGAATAGAACATGAATACCCCATCATGTTGATGGAATAGGAAGGAAAGACCTGATTGATGGTGTGATGGAGAGCATTACTGAAACGCATCTGTTGATGATAACATTGAAACCATATGTGTATGGATTAGAACATGAAACCCATCATTGTGATGAATAGAACTGAAACCTCATTATGATGTGATTGAATAGACATCTAACCCACATGTGTGAATACTAGAACATGAAACCCTCATGTGTGATGAATAGTAATGAAACCCCACTCTGTGTGGATAATGAAGTGTTGAGTGACAGAACCATCATGTGTGATTGGAATAGTAACATTGATACCCATCATGTTGATGATAGACATGAACCCATCATGTGATGGAATAACAGAAACATATGTGCATGGAATAGAACAGTGAAAACCATACATTTTATGATAAGAATGGAACAGTGGTTATTATTGCACTATATAGACCCTAAGATGAGGTAGAAGCGCACCTGCTATGTATCCAAGTTTATTTATCTAATACTAAAGTGATTGATAGTGTTAAGAGGATGAGATTTTGGCTTCCGATTTACACTGTCAAGAGTGTCATGGCATTTAGCACCGAAACAACTGCATAAGAAGAAATTCATGTTGTTATTTAATTACGTCTACTTATAGCATTCGTAAGTACCTCGGTCATGGACTCTTTCACTAATGTAATTATCTTCTGGCAGCTTGCCTGTGCGCGCATATAATTACGGAAGTGTTGAGTGCGTAATTTGGCTTGGGTAGTTATATT